TTAGTGAGGTCTCTGAAATATTGAATTTTCCTATTTAAGAGAGGTAATTAGTCTCTTGAAATTAATTTTCAAATTTAAGGGATGTAATTAATCTCTCAAATTGTTTTATAGTTCAAGGAAGGTAATTAGTCTCTAAAAACAAATTTTCCAATTTAAGGGAGATAATTAGTCTCTATATGGACTCACTCCACTAATTCATTTGCCATCTCTTCCCATGTTAAAACACGAAATTCAGCCTTCTACAACTTTTTCCAGAAATCTCGTTGAAAGCTTTCCAATATGTCGAATGAAAGCCTGACAAATTCTCAATGTCTCCTAAAAAATTCATTATATGATGACCATGAAAATTTTGAGCTACTAAAATTGAAAGTAGACTACTACCGGTTATACTCACTATACAACTAGAGTTTGGCACTTCCCAAAACGACTATTTTTAGAATTAGCCTTCCGCCTTTAGGTCTCTCATCATCTCACCAAATCTGAAAGATAATGCAATTTCAGACATCAAATTCCAAATCTAGACCAAATTTTACCCAAAAATAGGCAGGCAAAAACCCCAAAAGGGAGAGAGAAAGAAGATTTCTAAAAATAGCCTGGACTACATTACAATCATTTGCATAAAATGTTTTAGTGGAGTGAGTCCTATATATGTAGCTAATTTTTTTTTCTTGCTTTAATTTGTTCTATAACATCTGTGGAACAACCTGACTAAAAATTATGCAAATAAACCTAAAAGTAAACCAGTGGTAGTGTTTTTACTTTTGCCCCCTCTTTCGTATAATAAGCTATAAATGCACTGAATAAGCTTGTATACGTACAATTCTGAATTGGTCAGAACTTTTTTTATTTATGAAGATAATTCAATTCTGTAAAAAGATTAAGGAACGTTGACCAAAACCAAGCCTGAATAACATAAATTACACAGAATAAGGGTCAAATTTATTACGTCACATTTACTTCGCACATAATTCAGCCTGTTTCTACTTCAAAAACCACAGTACTTCTTAAATTAATGACAATTGCAGAAATAGAAATAACATGGAACCAAATGTTTTCAAGAATGAATCTTAAAAGACCATATATCCATTAGGTAGTGTGTTAAAGTTACAATCATTACATAACTCATTAAGGTTTATGATCCCTAAACCCCAGAAACCAAAATCAGTCCACATAGTAAATAGAAATAAATGATTTCTCTGTGTGTGTATTCATTCTGTCTTCAATATATCATTCTGCTGATATTTTCACCTCCCTCAAGTCTCAAAATAATATATATTAGCAAAAATGAGAAATTCACTCATT